GATCAAGCGAACTTTTTTTCTGCAAAAACCTGAGTGAGCACAAAATCATTTCGCTCATTAAAATTGTATAGTTCTTATGGCATCTTTGTTTAGATGACTTTACTATTTGCTAAGTTTTTCTCGCAAATGTTACTTCAACTAGCTTGCTAAATTATATTCGCAGAGTGGTTTAAAAAATAAGTTTCATAATCAAGTCAACCAATATATTCGTACCAGGAGAAAGAGTACTTACGGTGATGTGTACTTGCGGACAATGTTGAAGCGACGCTTCTGGTTTTTGAACAGGTTCACTAGCACCCTAGTGTTGTCATTTAGCAGACGCATGATATCTGTCAGCTCCTCCTTCTTGTACCCACTGGCGTATTCTACGTCTTTACACTAAAATCACACCTTTGAAAGTGGACCGGCGGACCGGGTTCGGTTCTTGCAAATTTTCCATTTTATACACAGGAAATTAATATGTATTTATTTATTTAATTCGTGTTCTCATCGACACTATCGGTAACAAAGTGCATTTACCGATGAAAGCGAAGGTGATTAAATCATGTATAGGGTGCTCCGTAGATCTCTTATTATAAATTAGCTGCTCTCTACTGTTGTAATTACACTGCAATTGAAATGCAACTACGTTTTGCCAGAAAGCGAAGCAAATCGAGCTACGGTACCAAAATTTGTCCTTAACCTGGAAATTAAAAAACGCTCAATACATCATAGCTAAGCAACCGACAGGTAAAGATTCAAACGTGCAATCAATTCCGATATCCGCTCTATACTATTACATCAACGTCATGGTTATATTGCAATAAAGAGACAGGTCGTCAACTATAAAAACTCTATATTAAGCAATCAGAACCGAGATACGAAAAACTAAAGTACACAACAATAACTCAGAGGCGAAGCGGAGCTTGACATCACTTGCAATACAACGCAAGCGCAGCATTGCAAGCCAGTGAATAGAAAATGAGACGGAAAGAACAAAATCAAAAAAAAATACAGTACTTGTATTTTTTTGAAATTTTGGAAATTAGGTGCCCTAAAAGTTCTTTGAATTTCTAGAACAATTTATGATTTGATAATTCATTGATAAAATTAACCCATTTTGAGAAAACTGGATCTAATGAGTAAACTTTTTATTTAGCTGGAAAAAATGAAAATTAAACTCCCCTTGCGAAACTAGAAGTCAATCACGTTTTTTCGAACCTTTTACACTTTGCTATTTGATAGTGGACTTTGCCCTCAATTTAATCAAGGAAATGAACTGAACTTGAAAAAAATCAAAAGTCAAACAGCGAAAAAATAAATTTGAGCCAGAACAAACATTAAGACATTTACTGAAACAAAAAATGGAGAAAAAAAATAATCGCGACCTATATAAGAGTCTGAACAGCGTTCATCGACTCTTAGTAATAATTACCGAAAAAAAAAACGAAAAACAACCACCAGTATACACTAAGCTTTTATACATTCTGTAATTCAAACACGACAAAAAGATGTTCAAATACAACCATAGAACTCATATGAGTTTAAAAGCAGAACATTAAAATCAAAATCAACACAAGATTTCAACACAGAGGCAAAGCTGCGCTCCGCAAAAACTATCGTGAACACATCAAACAGCTGTATAAAGTGCAATAAAAAATAAGCCTCGAATTGGTGCAAATTCGGCTACGTCTTGAATTCATTCTGCAAGAGATCATGAGTCTCACACACTACCCACTCAGCCACGGACGCTTAATAAACACAAAAACTAGCCACAAACAAAGCAGAACACATGCTACGAAATTTCCAATGCTGCAGACCGTGATTATAGCAAAACGTTCCACCAAATAAGTGAACACGTAGAAAAAACATTTTTATTTGCGAGTTAGCTTAGAAAAAAAAGAAGGTACGTACTAATAAACTAACGGTGGCAACTTTTTATTGCCAAGAAAGCGCTAAAAGAGGCTTCCAAAAAGAAATTTCCTGAAAAGCAACTAAATGTTTTATTTCTTGAATGATATTTTTTTAATTCTAATTCTACTATTAAAAGGTTATCATAAACCTGCTGGCTCTCTCTTTTTCGCTCAATATTATCCTAAAAATCCAAAAATTTTACACCCTTTTTCTCGACACTGACTCAAGTTTATGGAAACTTTTAAACGTCGTTCGGATCACGTTTGTAAAGTCTTGTAAAATTTTTATCACGCGGCTAATTCCGGTGAGTATTTGTTACGTGATAAACAAAAAATATATACCCAAATAACAAGTTCCTCGAAATTTTCCAGGATCGAAGATTTTTATTCCGCTGGCAAACTTAAAATGCAACAATCATCTTCAAAACTTAAATTCGATCGTTTTCTTTCCTATGTACACTTCGCATTTGGACGGCATAACTTTACTTTTTTAAAGTAAACCACTTGCTGAAAAAACCATTCGAGTTAAAAGTTGTATCACTTTGTTCATTGACATTTAGATTACCTATTCTACATATTTCCTACCCTCGGAACAAATTTTTCAAATTGGTTTCTCAAAATTTGTTTCACAATGGCAACTTTAGTCAGAGATTTACAGCAAGAATACCAACTGGTTGCAAAATGATAGTAACTTAACAATTGAACTTCGATTTAAAAATGCCAATTTAGTTTGAATTAAAAATTAGCAAATAATTATCAATAGACCAAAAAACAGGTTCCAATTTTAAACTTACTGCATAAATTAGAAGTGTTTGGCGAAAATACGAGATTTCCAAATCTGAGAATATGCTCTTTCATCAATATCGGCATGACAAAATGCGGTCATATTTGTTTTGACGAAAAAATGAAAAGTGTGTAAGCAAAGATAACTTCGACCAGATACAAGAAAAGTAGAAAGACGGTTCAACTACTACATTTCAACAAGCCAAATAGTAAATTTTTCCATAAGACACAGAAGCAAAGCTTCGCAAAACCTAGCGAGATCACGAGAAAAAGCAGCTCATAAAGTGCAATAAGAAATAGTTTTCAAAGTATTAAAAACTCGGCTACATATTCGATTCGATCTGCGACCTAGAGATTATGAGACTTCTGCACTAGCCCTTCACAATTAATACATCACAAACACTAGCCACAAATAAAGTACTTTCAATAAACATTTTTATTTGCGAGTTAGGTTAGAAAAAAAGAAAGTTCGTACTAATACACTAGCTACTGGCTAGTGTAAATACAACAATGACAAACTGTAACTATGTGACAGATCGTAAAAAGAAAACATAGCCAATCGAAGATTGGAAAAGACTAATTAACGCACGTAAACATAAAAAACACGCTGACTTTCGACTTTCAAAGAAAAAAATGGATACCTTTTAAGCTCTTAGAATTTCTAGAACAATTTATGATTGGCGCTTTCATGATAACATTGACCCAACTAGAGAAAACTGGATCAATAGATAAAAATATATACCTCTGGAAATCTAAAAATTAAATTCCACTTTCGAAACTAGAAATCGTTCATGTTTTTCTTTCGCGCCGTTTTCCACGTTTGTATTTGGAGAGTGCTATTTATGTCACTTTCAGCAGATGAATTTCAATTGAACTAAAAAAGTGAATTATATTTAAGTGCATCAATATTTTTAGACTTTTTCTTGAAAAAAAAAACAAAAAAATCAGCATACAAGATTTTTTCGCACTACGTTCATTACTCTTAAACAACAATCATTGTTTGAATTCAAGTCATTCTATATCCTCTTCATTAAAATAACGAGAAATAAACGTGTGAACATTGTTCTGCCAAAATACACTTTTCTCAGCTGTTAAGCTACCTTCTTTCACAAACTATTTTTTCATACGCCCAGGCAAAAACTAATTATAAGAGCAAATGACCTATTTCAGAAAGTTTTTGCATACTGAAGCAAATTTTTCAGACAGAACTTGACCCAGAATAGCCTAAAAATCAAATATGCACGCGAAAAATGTTCAAATTTGGCAGATTGCTTTTAAAAATGATTTTTGTCGATCTGGATTTTGGCTTTCTTCTTTAGATTGGTTCGTTTTTCGGAAACGGCAATTTGCGAGAAATTCGTTTTGCAAACGACCGTTTTCGTCTGGACGTATGAACAAACAATTTAATGAAAAAAGTAGCATAACAGCATCCAAAAGTGTATCCAGGCACACCAACGTTCTCATGTCACTTGTCGTTGTTTAAATGAAGAAGATATACAGTGCTGATTTAAATTATCCGGACAAATCGAACAAAACTGGGATTTTCAAACGCTTTTTTCTCAAATTGGGTTAAGATTAGACAAAAAGTGAACAGAACAAAAGTTGCTTAGAATTTCATCAGAATTATTATGGTGCTATTTTTTCTCCGAAATTCTCAACCAAAATTTTACCCCAAGAATGGGTCATTTTGGCTTTTTTCAGTTAATCAAGAATTACGCGGAAACTACTTTGTTAATTGATAAGAAAATTTTATCACAGGAAGCCTCTTACGCAGCTCAACAAAGTTTAAGGAGGGTTAAATCTCCAAAAATTTGCGCAAATTGTTTAAAATATATTTTTAAACAGAGATTCTGGGTTTTATATAGTAAAAATCACATTTATTGACTATCAAGTGAAACTTTTTTCTCTTATACTGGTTTTTGGAGATTTAACCCCTTTTAAACTTTGTTGAGCTGCGTAAGAGGCTTCCTGTGATAAAATTATCTTATCAATTAACAAAGTAGTTTCCGCTTAATTCTTGATTAACTGAAAAAAGCCAAAATGACCCATTCTTGGGGTAAAATTTTGGTTGAGAATTTCGGAGAAAATTTCTTGGTTAATTCTGATGAAATTCTAAGCAACTTTTGTTCTGTTCACTTTTTGTCTAATCTTAACCCAATTTGAGAAAAAAGCGTTTGAAAATTCAAGTTTTGTTCGTTATGTCCGGATAATTTAAATCAGCACTGTAGAATGACTTGAATTTAAACAATAACAATTAAAATTTTTCTTTGTTGTATTTGAAGTTCTTGAAGCGACGTATTTGAATTACAAAAGGTATATAAATTACCTAGATGTCACTAAGCCAACAACAGGTGGGTAAATCCCATTGAGCCGAAATGGAAAAGCCATAGAAACTGTTGGCATAACAAAAATTTGAGCAATTAAGTTTGTAAACTTTGAAATGTACAACACAAACTGCCTTAAGTTTTCAAAAAAACCCAAGTTTGTTTGCATTTGAAGCAACAAAACATAAGATAACTAAGCCGAGAAAACACGCCGAAAATAATTTAGCTAAATGATCCTTCAAGCGAAAAAATGAAAAGGAAAATCAAGGAAATATATACGTCATGGCCTAAGATTTTCTCGAGGGGGCGGGGTTAAGTTGTCAAAAAATTTTTAAAAACATCTTGATGACATTTTAATTAGGTTGCCGAAATTGATTTTCCGATTGCTCCCAGAACACTATAACGACAACAAATTCAACAATTTTCAGCAAATAGTCCATTTTTGGGCACTTTCTGGAAAATTTTGACCCAAATCGCGTTTTTTAGACGCGCTCTAACCCTTCAAGTTAGTATGTATTGGCTCCAAAGGCGCCTTTAGAAAACTTTTAGGGTCAGTCGGTCGAAACTGGATATCGAAAACAGTATCAAGGGGGAGACTCTTTGGGTTGTGCAGGAGGTCGAATCCCTGAGAGGGGGCATCCCCCCAAATCCGCCTCTGGTCAGGGCTATTAACTTACAGGAGAGAAATTAAAGAAGAAAATCAAAAATACTTGCATCTACGATAAAAACTTGCTGACAGCACAAGAAAACTACCAGATGTGGCAACAAAGCAGACAAAACATAAGCAGGCAATGAAAGTCCGACCATTCAATTTCTCCCGAAAAATTTTCAATACCAAACATACTGAAAAAAAAACAAGGTCAGACCGGGAATCAGACCGCGTTACTTCTGGACCAAGTGAGTAGGAGTCTCTAAGGTCCTAAGGTCCACTGATAAATCACCTTCACAATTTCTTACAGATTTGTAAGGAAAGTTGTTTACGGGGGAAAAAGGTCTATTTCCCGATTAGAATACTCTTGCTCTGGCAAGATTAATCATTAATTATTCCTGCGTATGTTTTTTTCTTATTTCGACTTGATTGATTAAAACAGTATTTGTCTATTTGATGAACTGTCTGCCTAAATTTGTCTAAGACCGCATACCCACCGTCATCTACAACACTCCAGTTTGACAGCTTACCCATGTGCCAGTTCCGAGGGTCAAATGAGCCAGCATGAGAGATCCGGCCGCTAACAGTGATTCTCTGTATTTGCAGAATGCATACTCCAGCACGCTACACTCCAGAAAGAAGCGGGCCTGACACAGCACAGTGAAATTGTTGTTCTGCACAGTCGAATACCTAAAGAAGAAGATTCCATCAAATCCACAATTCGATGTAATTCTCCCTAAATATCTCTTTTCGAGGAGAAAGGTCAAAATTCTATTCAGCGAATGCCGCATGCATTAATTTATTTTAAAAAAAACGAAGCGGAAGAATTTCTACAAGTTCAAAATGAATATATCAAAACTTACAGCTACAAAATATCCGTACATTCTTAATTTCATTGCCACTAAATCCCAACGTCTCAAATAAAACTAAGTGACCTTCTGAGGAAGCGGTATGAGAGAGGGTATCCGATATCGAACTTGAGCCTTCGCAGGATGTCCTGCTCAAGTCTGATCAGGTCATCCTCAAAATAGGTTGTACTTCCACAGAGGTCGAGAAAGTCCGTCATCGGTGCTGGTATTCTGTCCTGTAATGTACACACAGCATTGAAGAAAATGTATTATCATATCAGTGAACTTCTCTTGAAGATTGACTTTTCTTGACGCCTTTTCTTTATTAACAAATGTAGCAAATGTTTGCGACTGCCTTTTCCATGACTTACATCATATTTAGTGGCTATGAATAGACAAGTGACTCCGAGGAGCTGATAGTTCGTCTTCAAAATCTGCTTTTTCGTCAGATACATGTCACACATTTTGAATGCGTGATAAATAATCTCATGGTTCAGCGCCAAGGCCTCTTGCACCTAAACATGAACAAAATAATTAACAAGAAAAATCAAGGCAAGACTGACTTCAGCAACCCAAAAATACTGTCAAAGCTATGTACCTACTGTAAAATACATGGGTGGATTTAGAAGGTGGAGGGATTCGACCCCCTTAGCACCCAAAGTGCCCCACATTAAGTACTATTATCGACATATAATTTCGGCCGACTGACTCTTAAAATTTTCTACAGCCGCGTTCGGCGCCAATATACAGTTATTTTGGGGGGTTGTTTGTTGAAAAACTGACTTGTTCGTTGAAAAACTGACTTGTTCGTTGAAAAACTGACTTGTTTGATGAAAAAATCTTCAACTTTTGAATTTTCAAGAAACAATACATGCCTTTAGCGCTCTTTTGGGGTTATGAGCCTGAGCAAATTTTAAGACTTTTCTTCAAAAAAAAACAATAAAACATCTGCAACTTTATAAAAGTCTGAACTACGTTCATCGACTCATAACAAATGAAATGAAGTGAACTCTCGCTTCGCGTGGAAGGGAGATGTCTCAATGCATTTCTGAGTCAAATTTATAACCAATTGTAAATAACTTATATTTCATAAAATCTTCGCCTATCTTAGCAACGTACTTTTTGATTTCATTGAATAAAAGTTGATTATTTCTTTTTAAAATAACAGTTAACAAAACAAGACTGCTCGTATCAGGGCGGAGCCCTGAATGTTCCGACTGCCTTTTAAGGCATACGGAGCAGTAATAACCTTAAAAAATTAAATTAAAGAAATTAAAACTTTTTATGAAAATCAATTCAAATTGCTTTTTAAATTTTACACTAGGCGAGCTCTTCAACCTAATTTTGGCAACCTGAAAAAGGTCAAATTTATCAAAAATCTCCTCTTCTCGATAAAATACGCCATATAAAGTATTTTATCGAGATTTGTTATCACAATCTTACAAAAAAGACCTGTTGGACTGTTAATTTTCAAAAAATTACCAGCGGCACAAAAATCAATTCAAATTGCTTTTTAAATTTTACATTAGGCGAGCTCTTCAACCTAATTTTGTCAACCTGAAAAAGGTCAAATTTATCGAAAATCTCCTCTTCTCGATAAAATACGCCATATAAAGTACAAAAGGATAGAAAACTCCTTGTAACAAAACAATAATGGCAAATAAGCTTTTTTCAACCAATTGGAACGATTTCTAAGACGGATTAAATCTCGTCTTACCCGTTAATAGCGCGAAATATATCGAGCGTTAATTATCCCAAATTGGCAATATTTAAACCCCCATAACTTTACGAGAAGTTATCACAGGTGAAATATCTTTTCAAATTTGAGCTCAGGACAACAATAGCTTTCGAATGATATTAAAAAACATTCTGTCAAACATGGCTAGTTAAAAAGTCGAAATTTGTCTGAAGAAAAAAAAACCCACCCCGAGCACAAATATTCCGTTACTTTCGTATCGAAAGTCGGAACAATAAAAACCGAAAGACCGGAAAAAGACCAATTTTCTCTCCGTTTTCAAAATTATGCCGACAGAGAAGTCCAGCTTGACAAAACTTGCGGTAAAAAAATTGAAAACAGAGCCAACAGACAGTGGGAAAAGAGTCAATGAACGCAATTAAACAAAAATACCGACTTGTTTCTTAGAAGCTCTTTTAATTTCTACAACAATTTTTGATTGGCTCTTTTTAGTTAAAACAGACCCATTTTGAGAAACTGGATCAAAAGGTAAAAATTAATTTCGCGGGAACCTGATTATTAAATTCCATTTTCTAAATTAGAAATCAATCGCCTTTTTCTTGCACTTTAGATTTGTGCTAATCTATAGTGGAAATTGCCTTCCTTTTAACAAAAGAAACCAAGTGAACTTACAAAGAAAGCAAAAGTCATGCCACGAAAAATCAAAATTGAGAGTGAACAAAATTTAAGTCTTTCTCCTGAGAAAACATCACTAATACCTATTTAAGAGTACTTACTTTGTTATCACAATCTTACAAAAAAGACCTGTTGGACTGTTAATTTTCAAAAAATTACCAGCGGCACAAAAATCAATTCAAATTGCTTTTTAAATTTTACACTAGGCGAGCTCTTCAACCTAATTTTGTCAACCTGAAAAAGGTCAAATTTATCAAAAATCTCCTCTTCTCGATAAAATCCTAGATCGACATCTGGTAAATTACTTTATATCACAATGAAACAATTCGTGACATCTAAGTTGTTGAAAAAGTGCCTAAAAAGCTATTTTCTCTTCAGATTGCAAGCGCAAACATTGAAATGACTCACTAAAACTTTTCGAAAAAAACCTCCATCGAGAACTCTTGTACACACCTGATTGATATAGCGTACCGCAAATAATTCAATCGTAAATTATCTAGAAGCACAATTCAGATGCCTTAAATATGATGCTGCACTCTTCCTATTCTAAGCGAAATATTATGATTTAAAAAATTGAGTTTGCTAAGCATCTTGTATGCTAATTATTCCTCCCCCTCAAAAGAACAGGGTCTATTTCCTTAATAAGCAACAATAATTCGGCGAGCAAACCGATCGAAGCAAGAACTAACCTCGATGAACCAGTCGAACAAAATGGTTCTCATCTTCGTCGTTATGTGGGGCTGCTTGGCGATGAAATCTCCAATTGCATAATTAACCTACACATCCAAAAAAAAGTTGGTAAATTCGTTCAAAATCTAAGCTAAAAGGTTCACGGAAATTCATCGCGTCAGTGCCATTTGACCAAGATTTTTAAGAAAGGCTTCTGTTAAATAAGTGTTCTAAATGAGAAAAACAGACAAAAAACACGGATCAAATCGAAGCTTAACGAACTTCTTTTGATTTGAGGTAGCTGAAGACATCGTGCATGTAAGCTGGATTATTTTTATCCTCCAAAATGTTATCTTTGTCGTATTTCAAAAACAGTGCATTTCTCGGAACTGGCAGCAACTCAGCTTTAGACTCCAAACGTTCATTTTCCATTTGTTTTTCTTTTTCTAACTCGGCTTCTTTCAGTTTCGCCAAGTGTTTAGCTCTGTCAGCCTCAAACTTTTCGCTTCTTTTTTCTTCTAATATCTTATCCATTTCGCGAACTATCATCTGAACTGCTCTATCTTTCGCTGCTTCCGCCTCTACACTCATTTCACTATCACTGCTACTGGGTATATAACAACTACTGTCCTTAGAACTCACAGTCGCAGGACTGCTTAGAGTCGAGCTACAAGCTGAAACTGAACTTTGACTGGAAACTCCAATAGTGGTCCTTTCGTCTAAGTTGCCGTTAAAGTTCTTGGAGCGCACTAGTCGGTGGGCTAGCGACATGCTCGCTTCTGAGATTTTACTAATATCTGTCTGTGTATTTTCTTCATCTTCGAATTTAACTGTCCCCGATGAAATTTCTGATGGCTCGTCTGTTTTACCAGATAACTTTTTGGAGCCATCTGAAACATTTGGTTCCGTCTTCACTGCCTGACCTTCGTTAGTCAAAGTTGTGTCGGGATCGGAACTATTGGTTGTTTCCTCTTGAGACCTTAAAGCATTAATAGTCGTTACAATATAAATTAATACAGAGAGGCGAAGCTGAGCTTCGCACCACTCGTGATACAAACTCAATGACTATGATTAAAGCACATTTACAGACAAATCAGCATTTGAAAAAAAAACACAGTAAAAATTGTAATATCAATTGCAAAGAAAACCGAAAAAAAAACTAGAACAGAGTTTTCGGAATAACCCAGAATAGACTAAGATTTTCAGTTTGCAAAAAACAGGTCCTGACTGGGATCGAACTCCCGGACATTGTAGTCTCACGCATGGTCGTTACCAATGCGCCAAATACTCCTCGAATTTGAAATACAGCAAAAAAAAACAAGTGTAACATTTTCACGAGCGAGCTCTGTTAATAAAATTATATACGTGGAAAAATTGTAGTACCCGGTTGCAAAACCCTTGCTTATCTGAAAGATAATAAATTTGGGCCTAATTTTGCTCTAATGAATATCAATATTATTATCAATGAGAAAACCGGACCGTGGCCCTATTTTTTTGAAGTGATTGTTGGCTTAATTTTGAATTAAGTTGAATCGTGAGCCAAAAGATAAGAAAAATGATTTTAACATCAACATAAAGTAACCTTCTGAGTCTAAGACTTCTTCGACGAGTCACGACAGTCCCATGAAGTTCTTCTTTCAAGTTGTTATCTGCACTCATGACTGGCTCCTCTTTCATCTAAAAAAGAAAACAAAAATTTGCAATCCACCTTATCTTCCATACATTATTTTTACCTATTAACTGATGTGCTAAGCAATTTTAAGCCGCTTTATAAACCTCTATCGATTCTTGTTAATTTGCCAAGCTAACATTCTTTAACTGTCAATACAAGGTTATCTTAAAGGGGATAGATACTAGATCGAATGGTTTCACCATAATAATTTTTGCAAATGAAATAAGAAAATGGTATGTTGTCGGAGTATAGAACACACCAAAAAAACCATTGGACACAACATACCGTGACAGCCTTTTTAGATGGTGGTTTTTGCTGATTTCTGGCCGAACTGCTTCTGGTTCGTTTTCTTGCAACATTTTTCCCCTCAACCATTTTCGCCTTTTCTGTCTCGCGGCTTTCATCGTTGCCATTTATTTTCTTGGCACTTCGCACGGCTTGTTTCTGAGTTGGCTTTTTCGTTTGCTAAACAAAACTGAACTGTAAAAAGAGCATCTTAAAACTAGTTCTTGTAGTCCATTCAAAATTAAAACGCAGAGACAAAGCTGTCACTTTTAAAACACAGCGGCGATAACACGACAAAAAGCAGCTCTCTTAAGTGAAATAAGAAAAATTAGAAATAAGCCTCGAATTAGTAAAAATTCGACTGCGTCTAAGATTCGAATCGGCCAACTAGAGACTAAGATTCTGATGCTCACACTCTAACCATTCAGCCACGGATGCTCAATAGCTACCAAACACTAGCCACAAAAAAAGCAAAGAACAGATGTTATGCAATTTCCACTGCTGGCTCTTTTTCCTTCAACCCCAAACTCACATGAGCATAAACTTTATGGTGTAATGAGTGGTTTAACAAGGGTGATTATGAAGACCAAATAATTGTCATTTTTCCTAATTAGTCCGCATGTCAATTTTCATAACAATCGGTTGGTGCGTACAGTACTTTTACTAGTAAAAAAAATTGCTGGTGGGGGTAAGGAAAAAGAACCCCAATACAGTGAAATTTCTGAATAAGTGAACACATTTTTTTGAGAGTTAGATTGAAAAAAGAAGGTTCGCATTATAACACTATGCTGATGGCTAGTGTAATAAGCAAATAAAACAAACAACAGAAAATTGCAGAAGCGTCAATGAACTTAAGAAACAAAAAAACTAGCTTTTTGAAAATTAATCACCTCTCTCTCTTTTTGAATATAATTCGACATCCGTCATTGCAAACAGCATACGCAAAACAAAATTAGGCTCTTTCCCAGTTTCCTACCCCTTTAATTTTTTTTTCTGAAATTCAATATATAAAATTCTATTTGAAATAAACTTTCATTTTGAAAACTGCATCAAAACGTGTCAGCGTGAACAGGGGAAAAAATTTTACAACATTTCTTGCATGCAAAAGGCCGTGTGAACAATTTTTGAGCAGCTTCATTTTGTAATTTTACTGCAAAAGGGCCCAAAACTGCAAAAGGGGCCAAAAACTGCAAAACGGGCAGAGGGAAACTGCAAAAGGGTCCAAAATTAAGCAAATCAGAGATGAATATGTAACGCCAACATTTTAAGCACAAGACCATCAAGACAATCTGGAAAAGTAAATTCAAGAAAAATAATATATATTTTTTTAAAAACTGCGATCTCTCCAACACTGCCATATTTTACGAGATTTTTTTTCAGCTAAGATTTACAATACCGAATCAATATTCGGATAACATTTCACTCAATGCACAAAACATGGAGAAGTGATAAACACAATCTCTCAAGTTTAAGTTTCGAGAAAACAGAGCCGAGATTCTCAGCCTTTAACACTGAGACGAAGCAGAGCTGCGCACCACTTGCGATACTATGATACTAGAAATGAATGACTATGATGAAAATCAAATGGAAAAAGTTTTTTAAAAAATTTGGAAGTTCAGAAAATTGATTTGGTCAACAAAATCCGGTATTAAATTACCTGCACCATTAGAAACTTTACAAGGAGCTTTCGGAATACTCTAAGAAAGCCTAAGATTTTTAGTTTGCAAAGGTACAAGTCTCGACTGGAATCGAACTCCCGGGATTTGCCGTATCAAGCATGGGTGTAGCAGCAAATTGGAAGAAAAGGTAACCATCAAAAAATATCGAGATACGGGAACTGGTTAGACAAAAATAAACAGGATTCGAACCACAATCCTTTGCCGTCTCAAACTGTTACCTTTACGCCAGATGGTTGCTTGAATTTGAATATAGTAACCAAGCAGTAACAAAGCCTAAAATACCTGAGCAGAAACCCTTCATGCCGAAATAAAATAAAACCAATTCTAAGCTATAAAAAAAAATTTTCAGCCCAATTTCCCCCAGAACACGATAACAATTTCGAACTACGCATAAGAAGCCACTGAAACTACATAAAATAAGCCCAAATCTATCAATCCGAAAACAAAGACAAAGAGAAAAAACTCAGTAACTCGAGGTTGGTAAAACTACAACCAACATAAAAACATATTTACAAACATACAGAAACATGCAGTAAATTACTCAATCAAGGAAATGAGTCTTGCGAACAAAGTTCTGTATGTGAAAAAGTCTAGTACCCGATTGCAATACCTTTGCCCTTCGCGAATGGGTTCAGTTTTATTTTCGAATAGGATATATTTTAATTTGAATTAAACGGAAGAAATAACAAAAATGGCAAATAAAAGTATAGTCCACTAAATCATGATTTCCTAACAATAAGGCTACATCTTAAATTCTCCAGATCATTTCACCACTTAACATGGACATATCCAACAAACAGTTGGAAAGAGTCAATGAACGCAAGTAAACAGAAAAAAGACTGACCTATTTTTCGAAAAAATCGTATCCTCCCAGTTTTGAAGAAGAATAGACAATCTTAAAGCTCTTTGAATTCCCAGAACAATTTAAGATACACACTCTTTTTTATTAAATTAACCCAATTTAAGAAAAGTGGATCAAAAGGTAAATTTTCAATTCAGCTGGGAAATCTGAAAAATAAATTCCACTTTAAAAAATTTACCTTTCGAATTAAATTCCACTTTTGATGTTCGATAGTGGAGTTTGCCTACCTTTTAACAAAAGAAATGAACTGAAATTAAAAAAAAATCATAAGTCATAAGTTCAATAAAAGACATCCGGTTGGATGTCTTTTATTGAACGCTGAAAAATCAAAAACAAAATTTAAACAATTCATCGGCATATAACTTGTTTTGCTTTTGAAAAAATTAACATTAACCTTCGAACTTCAAAAAACATATATGCCCTTGAAGTTTCTCGCTTTTTATGACTAATTTTAGATTGACACTTAGGTTGAAACCAACTTGAGACAACTGCTATTTTTTTAAATTCCGATCGAATATCTATAAATTCAAATCCACTTTCAATGCCAGATACCACTCATGTATTTTGTGAGACTTACGCTTTTACTGTTCGATAACAACGAAAATTAATTGAACTAGAAAATGAATCAGAAGTCAAACCGCCTAAGATCAAAAACTTGAGCGTGAACAAATTTTAAGACTTTTCCCGAGAAAATTATCATTGACACTTAACTAGGCAGTTACTAAGCCGACAAAACTTGACCATACGCATTTTGAACTGGAAATATTATAGCATACGCCGAAAACTTTTTAGCCGAATAATTTTTTAATCGTCTTGTTGGGAAGACGGGTTGAACTTTATTCATTTATTTAGCGTCAAATTGCATTGCAGATTAGCTTATTCATCAACATTGATCAATTGTCGCTGTTGAAAAATGTCAGGTAAACCTTTAGAAGTTATATCTTCGGTTACGGTAGGAGGGGATCCTAGTGCCATCCTCCTCCTCAAAGTGGTACCGACTGTGGCAAAATGGATGACATCTCTCTCCACACGGAAAAAGGCCCACGGTTGAATGGTGCGACTGGGCTGGGGGATAATAATAAAAAAACACAGAGGCGAAGAGGAGTTTCGCAGCACTTGTGATGCAAAAAAAATCTATGATATAATCCGGTTTGAAAAATTAAGTCGAAAAAATAACTCTAGAAGCTACTAGCAACAGCCTTAAAAACTTGAAAACTAACTACCGCTCGGCAAAAAATTTTGGGTCAAAACGAGTTTGAGCCTAAAACAAAACAGTTGTCATCAAAAAGTTTAACAATTTTTTTGAAACTTTTTACGACCCATCCAATCTGAATTACATACTCTCATGCGAATATATTTCCACTCAGAATTATGCAATATAATTTGACTGAGCTGTCAAATTTGACTGAGCAGTTTCATAATTTTCAAGAAAATGAGCACGTCAGAAGATGAAGGAGTCTAGGGGATGATCTGAGTCCTGTGAACAAAATTATCTACGGGAAAATAGTCTAGTTCCCGATTGCAATACTCTTGCTTGTAGCAAGGTTAATGAAAGCCGAGAATTGCATAACTTTTGAACTGGAAAAACCCCTTTCAAAATTCAACACAAAATTATAAAAAGTAGCAATTTTTCCCCATGTCTATACCGATTAAAATTAATACCTATCCCAGGCTTCAATAACAAAGCTATATCATCAAAAAATTAAAACCACGAAAGAAATTTCACAATCGCCAAAAAAGAAGCGCTATTTGATATCGAAATCAATGATACAAAAACTTCCTAAAACAGAGACCGATTTTTTTGATACAATGATTTTGCAAAGCAGAATTTAAAAACAAACAGATAAACCGAAATTCTTTCAAAATTGACGCAAAAAGATCGTTATAATAGTAATACTTGTTACGACTTTAAGGGATTTTTTTTAGACTTCAATTTCTTTTAAAGTTACAGAAACTGACTCAGCCACGTCAATTGTAACATGGCAATTTCAGAAAACTAGGCAAATAAGCTGTCATATTTATAGTTGACATCCAAGAAGCCAAAAAAAAACATTTCAAAAAAACAAAAATGCCTTGAATAAATTATATGACAACTTTTCAATAAAAAAAGCTGTTGCATACTCCATTGCATGCCCTAACGTACGCAAGTCTAAACAGAAGGAACTACTATTTGAAAATTAAGCCAATAGAGCTCCTGATTGACATCAGAAAACCGAAATATCATCGGAAAAACATTAATTTCAAAATTTGTACTATTTCAAAACTCGTACACAATCAAAATTCGTACAATCTATTTTTCATATCAATATATTTACAACGACTCTGAACCTGTTTTTCAGAAAAACACGGACGAGAAACGCAAGTGTGTGACAATGATTCAGTAAAATTAGTGTGTGACAATGTGTGACACCACTGTGTGACAATAATTCAGTAAAATTAGTGTGGTAACTCAACCGACAAGGCTTGGAGAGACGCCCGCAGAGCCGAAAAAAAAATTTCGGGCAAAAAAAAATCAAAACTAAAGTATTAAAACTCGAAGACCCTGGATTTTAGGACCCTATTTTCAGATCCATATGGCGGCAGAAAATCTATTTTTGCTCATCAAAAGGTGAATTAAAAAAATGAGTGAAGCGATATAAAACAAGCCGAAACAATTTAAACGAAAGAAACTAAAAATATATATTCGAATTCCGAGTTGTTATTTAACCAATTACAGTTTTTCAAAAATGGTTAGAACTCGTTGATTTGGAAATCAAGCCAACAAAATTAAACAGACAAACATTAGTGCCACAATTCAAGTTTTCCCAGAAAAAAAAAACGTTTCATTTCATACATAAATAAAGAAGGTAATACTGAGATTTGAACCTTAGGATCCAAAAGCACGCACTTTACTACAAAACCATGAGGGAAAAAACCTGAAAGTTATAAAAGTTCCATAACTAAGCTAGTTCAAGTTCTTACAAGCTTTTAAGAAAAGGTTTTTACGGATTCAAAGTCTTTTTCACGATTACGAGCCACTAGCACTAGCTGGTGAAAATAACCAAAAATGCTATGAAATATCTGAGTTTTGAAACTTACAGTATCTTCTACTCATTTCATAATTAAACTAGCCATTCTGATCATTTCACAAAAATGAAAGGACCTATTGCATAGGGTGTTTCTTTTCTAACAATTTTTTATTACCTCAAAGAAAGCTCGTAGGGGTTCAAGTGGGTTATCATATTAAAATTTTTTGTTCGTGATTCGGATTACAAAAAATTTTCGTTGCCCGCGTTTTTCCGATTTTCAGACAAGAATTTGATGACACTAAACTCACTTTTAATCAAACCCAACTTAATTCTAATTGGATGTCATCAAATGTAGTTTTTACGTTATACTAGCTATAGAAACCTCTTATCAATTCTATGAATTGATTTTAGGTCTTAATTACAACTAGCTTGTAACGCACCTCCGGTGCTTCTAATTTTTAATAACTCATAAAACACCGCATAAATTGGAAAAACATCTGCATCATTTGAGTGTAATCTGAAAGCACCCAATTAAAGGGTTGGTATATTCCAAATTTGTAGAGGTTTGTTATTTTCAAATTTTGAAAAACCATAAAACTGTGATTTTTATATAAGTTCTTTGAAAATTTTTTAAGCCTACACAAAAAATTCACATATCGAAAACTAAAAGCAATTGAGGAGTCGCAGTTCGACGCAAAGTTTGCAGCTGTAGATAGTAATCTCGGTAACCAACTACAGCGTTCGAGAAACTTCAAATTTAAGTTTACTAAATTTTTTTTGAAAAACCCAAAAAAGACGTCATATCTCAAAATCCACAAACATTTGAGCAATAAAAATTGGAGATAAGGTTCGCAACCCCAAAGAAGGCCCTGGCAGAGCCTCACTATAGAAATGGGAACTTCAAATTTTGTGAAACTTTTTATACCAAACAAATAATGTTTTCAAAAATGACCTGACAAACGTTACATTTCGAAACTAAGAGCAATTGAGCGTCGCATTTGGACGCAAAAATTGCAACTTAGAACTCCTGAGAGTACCCTCACAGAACCCAGTGAAAACGTCGGGAATTTCAAATCTTTTGAAATTTTTAATACATAAATTTTCTGAAAAATAATAAAAGAAATAATAAAACACGCTATATCTCGAAAACTACAAGAATTTGAGCAGTCATATTTGAAGGCAAGAATAGCAATCCTTGAGAGTACTCTGACAGCAACCAACCACAGGGTTCGTAATTTCAACTTTTGAAAAAATTTTCAAATTTAAGTCTTCTGAAAAATTTCTGAAGTTTTTTGAAAAACCTCAAAAATCGTCTTATCTCCTAAAGTAAAAGGATTTAGGCATTCATAATTGACAGCCCTGACACCATCCCACTCAGTGAAACAAACACTGAATTCAAAATGGAAAATAGAAAAAAATTTAAAACATTGCAATAAACGATATAGCTTAAACTTGCAAAAATTCTTTCGTTAAACATGGCTAGATAGTTAAGCACTTAAATATATAATAGATTTACCGCAAATTTTTTCCAACCATGACAAAACAATCAAACGATTACAAAATAAAGTCCGTGAACTTTATTTCAGGGCATAAAACGTAGATGATGGGAGCTTCATTTGGTATGCAATATCAAGGTAAAAGTAATCATGAAACAGACTTTACACTAGATGCTAGCTTATTTTCGTCTTAAACGTTAACTTTATTATTCAGACAGTATTCCTCTAAGTCACCCACACCCCCTCTCTCTCTCTCTCTCTCTCTCTCCGGTTTATCTAACATACTATTTAATTAAATAATATCCAGCTATTTTAACCCCTGTTTCCGGTACTTGCATACTACGAATTTCTGTTCATTATAATAAGTTGACTACGGTGCTGATAATTGTTGCTCAATATGATAACTGTTACAGATGTATGGTGGTGATTGTTTGTTAATATCAACTATTCTTATTTAAAAGGTTTCAATCAGTCAATGGTAGCAGGATGGCAACAAGGCGTTGGAGCCACCCTCATTCATCACAGAAAACGAAAAATTTCCCGAAAACAAACGGGATTTGGAGAGATGGTCGAGACTGACGTCAATCAAAGCTGAGCTACAGGTACAAACTGTTATTTACATGTTACAAGACCATCCATCTCGCATAGAAGAGAAAATCGACACAAAGTTGGGCGAAAACTTGGTCAACAACAAAAAATGAATCAAGTAGTTACTTGAGTCTCCGATTCAAACTTATGGTGGCGACGATATCAGTGATGCAAATCGAAAAGAACGCTCAAACAGTGATAATATGATCGAACTTGTCGCAAAATGGGAGACACTTTTTCTCAAGTGCAACAATGCTGGATGCGAGCATCTAGACATCGTGCTTTGTTTCGAGCTGCTTGAAGCTGCTCGACGTGACGAAAGAGAGACACAATTGTTCCCACTCGATTAGATTATCAAACTGGTAAGGACTAAGGAAAACTACTCGAGCCAATGAACGCCTCAATGAAGAAATTCAAAGGAAAACTGGCTATTTGTGCCGAAAGTGGCGAAGTAGACTCTGGAGTTGCCAAAACAGAGTCAACACTCCTCAGTGAAGAAGTGGAAACCACTTTGGTTGCGAACGGATGGAAAAAGCCGCTTAAACGTAGTCACTCATCTCCAACGCGAGCTTATCAAACGAAGAGGTATCTTGGAACGAAAAACCCACTTGGGAAAGACAGAAGGCCGATTAAATGTTACTCGTGCAAATATGAGCACCGATCTGCTTGCACGTGCCCGTGTCTCTATCATCTGGCTGATCACTATCCGTTCTTTGTCTTGTATCCTGGTATTTTTCCGTGACTGCAAGCTATTTCTATTTACGGCAAAGGTTTCAGAATGATACTGGATTGTGCATGCCCGACAACAGCAGTTGGAATCAAATGGATACGGGATTTTTTTCTCATATTTGAGTTGTGCTGAAGCAGAAACTCGAAGAGATCTATACACAGTATATCGTTTTGGAGGAGGAGAATTACGCCATTGGAAATATAAATATATCACCAAGTTTCATTGTTTTCTTGGCGGTCGTTTGCTTAAACTGAGAACTGAAGTGATCGACGAGGATTTACCACTACTCGGAAATTCATTTGAAAGTCAATGTGTTGTTATTGACATTGTAAAAGTTTTCAACTTTTGGCAATGAAATTGACTTAGAAGAATCGTCAGGTCATTTAAGCATTGAACTTTCGCCCCCGGGACAAGAATCACTGCAAACAGATATAGCCCTTGTTTCTCGTACTGTCGATTACAATGAGAAAAAAATATGGCAGTTACACCATTCATTATTTTGGACATGCATCAGTTGAAAAGCTGACAAGACTGCTGTATAAGGGTGGCAAAATGAGCCTGGTCCGGACAAAAAATTGCTGCTCCGCTCAGTGGTTGGAAAAATTACAAGTATCAGTTTTACAAGTCACCCTAATTTCTGTTTTGTGCCAAAAGCATGAGCAGCAAGTACGGATGAGCTAAAGTCAATGACGTGAAGTCAGTTATCAAGAAAATCATTTAGAAGAACTGGGGATTCAAAAATGTTCTTTCCAAATTTAGGAGAAATTTAATCGTGGGAATTTGTGGGACATGCAAACGCAGGCGTCAAATCTATGCCAGACAATGTTGCGAGCGTCGGTGGTAGCATTTTGATGCATTGAATCATAAATAATGACACGGCTAGAGTTATCATGGCATTCTAAATTTCTGAAAGAAAAGCCACCAGCTCACTAGCTGGAGAACGCTATGCATCAAATTCGCTTTTCTCTGATATGATATACATGAAAGCTATTCTCATTCAAATTTTGGCCAACGAATATCTTGTTTTGCATTGCATTCACCGACTGCAGAAATCTTTACGAGGCTGTCAGAAGCACTAAGCTCGTGGATGATTCGTGGATATAATCACAGGTGTTGCTATGATCAAAGACGCATTACCACTGGCAATATCACTGAACTTCGTCTGTGTCGAAGCGAGAGAATTCGAACAAAGTGTCTTACCAAAAACGGAGCTTGCGGTTGCGAGCAGATGGAAACAATGAAAAATAAAGTTTATAAACTGGCAGACATGGAAGTAGTCTGAGAGATGTGCAAACCCTCGGTTGGGTCAATGTTCATTATAATAAGTTGACTACGGTGCTGATAATTATTGATTAATATGATAATTGTTACAGATGAATGGTGGTGGACGTTTGGTAATATCAATTATTCTTTTTTAAAGTGTTCTATTCAGTCAATTTCTACTGGCGATACAAACCTCACAATTTTATGGATTCCCTCATTGACTCAACGCTACTAGCTTACTAACAAGGTCAAACGTTTATACCTCTCAATCTTTTTCTTAAACTAATTAGGCGCCCTTTACTAAAAAAAACTGACCAGGAAACTTTTTAAACCTGATTTCTGAATTTTATGATTCTATTACTCACAGCAACCGTCTATCCTGGTTTTGATTTGGACTTAAGTTTGACATGCTTTGCAGTTTAAATTGTCAACCCTGATGTTTGAAAACTAGAGACAAGTGAAATACTATGCTCACTCCTTGTCTGGATCGCAGTGGCATTTTGGTTTTTCCCGAAACAGACGGCACTGCATTTTCCTTATCGTTTTCTCTTTCACTCTTCTCGCCATTAGTCACATTTACTGCTCCAACCGTCTCTTTCACAGCAGTGCTGGAGCGGTTTCTCGTCAGCACTTGCGGCTCCTTTGCATTCTGTTTCGTGGCTAAGGCTCGTCTTTTCATGGCTTATCTGAAAAATACAATAAAATAATTAATACTTTGTGACCTAAATGATTATCACGCTTGTAAAATCCGCAGAAATAAAAAAGAAACAAGATCATTCAAAAAATCATCAATAACAAACTACGCCACACAAATAGCAATTTTGCAATTAAACAACAAAAAATCAGCCTTTGGCTTACCAAACGATTAAACTACCAAGTTTATATTTGCATACAATTCCATTTTTTCTTTAAAATTCACTTTCAAAATCTACAAACAATTCTTCGGCTCTTTTCTGCAGCACGGATTTCCTGGCTTGTACGCCTGGAGGGTACCTCACCATAAGACATGTGCTTCCTTTTGGCGTGGCATATACGTTAACTTCTTTCTTGATCGCCGCTTTCATCGATTTCCTAAATAAAGCTTTTTTCGCTGATTTTCCCATTGAACTTTTTTTATGAATCACTCTAGATTTGCGCTTTGGTTTTTTCGCAGTGGTCGGAGGATTCAGTAGGCTTCTTCCTCTACCCGAGGCCATACAACTTCCGCTTATTCTGGAACTCGAATCTACTGGACTTTCGGCTTCTAGCTTCACTTCCTTATCTTTCGAGGCCTAAGAAAAACATTTGTTTATACTTCAGAACCTTTTCAATGCCCACCAGAAATGTTTTACAGTCATATTCAACTGGAGAAATATGAATCTTTTGCAACTAACCCAAGGTAAAACAGCATCATTCTGTCGAATCAAGCTTTTCTTCTGCTTGTTCAGCATGTAAACTGGGGCTTGTAGCTCTTCGGTGGATCGTGCTTTTATTTGAAACTGATAGTCTTCATTAGCGGCTAGAATAATCCGGTCCAAACAATTAAATGCGCTCTCTGAAATTTTGGAATCTATCCAACTCTTCTTTGTCAATTTTTTCAATCATTGCTTTTTGGGGAGATGAAAGATGTTGAGCTAATCGTTTTCCCAGAAGTGATTTCTTCAATAAAGGCTCAAGATCGCTGAGCGAATTATCCAGTACTTTTTTGTAGTCCATCATTCTGAATGAAAAAAAGTTTTGTAAAGAAAAAAAACGAGTTTAGAAAAAAAACTTTATACTTTTTTATTCTATTTTCTAGGTAATCAGAAGGTCAAGTATCATAGTAACCGAGGTTACAGTCAGGGGTCCCTTCATCACATATTCCAGTCAAAATCCTAGGAATTTCTAGATATGGAAGTGATAATGATAAAAAAAGGAGATGATTAGTGTTGCTGTGTTTAATATTAAATTCGATACGAGCGTGTTGCATATATAGATGCCGGCTCCACTATCTCGCCATTTTTAAGCTTTTCTAACGTGCTATTTATGCATGTTCAACGAACAAAACTTGCACGTTTAAGCAATATCGTTTATAGGGTTGGAAGGTACTGGTTCTTACCGAAGATTTAGATTTACTCCTTTTAGATGGCAATAATCACAATCTTTGAAAGTACTCTGACAGCACACAACAACAGGTTTGGGAATTTCACTTTAGTGAACTATTTTGTAATTTGCGTTTTCTGAAAACCCGTATTCGCAACTCCTGAGATTCCTCTGAGAGCCCCCAACTACAGGTTAGGAATTTCAAACTTTGAAAAGAAAATAAATTTAATTTTCATAAATTAAAAAACAAATCACAAAAAAAGTCATATCTGGAAAGCTTGAAGGTTTTGAGCAGTCATATTTCGAGGCAAACTTGACAACTCCTGAGAGTACCCTGAAAGAGCCTCACAACAGAGATGGTAACTTCAAGTTTTATAAAAAAAAAACTTATACCCAAGTTCTCCGAATTTTTTTTTTTGGGAAAATCCTAAAAACCGTCATATCTCGAAAACTGCAAGATTTTTAGCAGACATATTCAGAGGCAAGATTTGCAACCCCATGAGAGTACCCTCACAGATTCCAATAACAGAATTGAGAATTTCAACATTTTGGAATTTTTTAACATCTAATTTTTTTTTTTGAAAATTTCGATGAAAATCATGAAAAACGTCATATCTCGAAAACTACAAAAATTGGAGCAGTCATATTTGGAGGCAAAAATCGCAATTCCTGAGAGCACTCTGACAGAGCCTCACCACCGAGATGGGAATATCAAATTTTGTGAATTTTTTTATATCTAAATTTTCTGAAATATTTTTTTAAATCCTAAAAAAACGTCATATCTCGAAATCTACAAGGATTTGAGCAGCCATAATTATAGGCAAGATTCGCAACCCCTGAGAGTACCCTCACAAAGTCCAACAAGAGGACTGAGATCTTCAACGTATTGGAATTTTTTAAAATCTAAGTTTTTGAAAAATTTTTTAAAAAACATAAAAAACGTCATATCTCGAAAACTACAAGGACTTGGTTATTCATATATGGAGGCCAGAATCGAAAACCTGAGAAAAATCTGACAACATCCAACTATTGGGTTGCTAATTAGAAACTTGATGAAATAAAAACTGAATTTAAACGGGAAAACTGAAAAAAACCTTAACCATTGCAATATACGATATAGCTTAAACGCGAAAAAAATCTTTTGTTAAAGATGCAAAAAATACGTTGAAAAAGCTTAAATATGGCGAGATAGTGAAGCCCGCATTTAAATATATAATAGATAATAGATTTGACAGAAGAAAATTTTTTAAAAAAATAGGAGACGGGTAGACAGACATAATCAAATCAATTTAAAAAAAGCAGGTATACAGACAGACAGACAGAAAAACTTAATTTGGCCTCGAAACAAATTACTGAAAAATTTCTTGCCGAAAACTAAATGAAAAATTTTCTTAAGCATTGCAAAATATGATATAGCTTAAACATGAAAAAAACTCTTTCGTTAAACATGCAAAATTATTATGCTTAAACATGGGAGATAGCTGTCACTAGCACTTAAATATAGTATAGATAGTATAGATATAGATATAGATAGATACATAGATAGATAGATAGATAGATAGATAGATATAGATATATCTGGTAACAACTGAATTATGCAGTTAAGCGAACAGGTCATAGTAATCACTCTCATCGTTATCGAAAAGAGCACCATCTGCATTAAAAAACAAGCTTATTTACTTTTTCGTTTCGCAGACGATTGCGTGATTTGTTGTGCAAGAATGCGAAGATGTTCCAAATCCTTTTTAAGGACGCACTTGAAACTGGCATTATGAAATTGCGTAACGCAATATTTCCGAAAAGAGGGAACTTTAACTTTCCATACACCGTCCGGTAATCGCCTGCAGAAAAATGAAATAGTTCATTTTTCCGCTCGTTCTGCATAAATCCAAACTGTACCAGGAAGCCATTAACTTGATGCTCGAAAGTTACCAAAACATGATCTTGTGTGAAGTGCATTCGTCCGAAACTTTCAAATTGTGCTGGATAGAACAGTGCTGATCTCAATAACCGGACAAAACGCGTTAAACTTGAAATTTAAAACCCGTTTTTCTCAAATTGGGTTGAGTTTAGGAAAACTTATGAAGGCAAATAGTAATTTTCAAAAAATGGTCAAATAATCGAAAATTTGAATTTTCTGAGTGCCAAATTTTTTTTTAGTGTTAACAACTTAGTGATGCAAATCGAAAAGAACGCTCAAACAGTGATAATATGATCGAACTTGTCGCAAAATGGGAGACACTTTTTTTCAAGTGCAGCAATGCTGGATGCGAGCATCTAGACATCGTGCTTTGTTTCGAGCTGCTTGAAGCTGCTCGACGTGACGAAAGAGAGACACAATTGTTCCCACTCGATTAGATTATCAAACTGGTAAGGACTAAGGAAAACTACCCGAGCCAATGAACGCCTCAATGAAGAAATTCAAAGGAAAACTGGCTATTTGTGCCGAAAGTGGCGAAGTAGACTCTGGAGTTGCCAAAACAGAGTCAACACTCCTCAGTGAAGAAGTGGAAACCACTTTGGTTGCGAACGGATGGAAAAAGCCGCTTAAACGTAGTCACTCATCTCCAACGCGAGCTTATCAAACGAAGAGGTATCTTGGAACGAAAAACCCACTTGGGAAAGACAGAAGGCCGATTAAATGTTACTCGTGCAAATATGAGCACCGATCTGCTTGCACGTGCCCGTGTCTCTATCATCTGGCTGATCACTATCCGTTCTTTGTCTTGTATCCTGGTATTTTTCCGTGACTGCAAGCTATTTCTATTTACGGCAAAGGTTTCAGAATGATACTGGATTGTGCATGCCCGACAACAGCAGTTGGAATCAAATGGATACGGGATTTTTTTCTCATATTTGAGTTGTGCTGAAGCAGAAACTCGAAGAGATCTATACACAGTATATCGTTTTGGAGGAGGAGAATTACGCCATTGGAAATATAAATATATCACCAAGTTTCATTGTTTTCTTGGCGGTCGTTTGCTTAAACTGAGAACTGAAGTGATCGACGAGGATTTACCACTACTCGGAAATTCATTCGAAAGTCAATGTGTTGTTATTGACATTGTAAAAGTTTTCAACTTTTGGCAATGAAATTGACTTAGAAGAATCGTCAGGTCATTTAAGCATTGAACTTTCGCCCCGGGACAAGAATCACTGCAAACAGATATAGCCCTTGTTTCTCGCACTGTCGATTACAATGAGAAAGAAATATGGCAGTTACACCATTCATTATTTTGGACATGCATCAGTTGAAAAGCTGACAAAACTGCTGCATAAGGGTGGCAAAATGAGCCTGGTCCGGACAAAAAATTGCTGCTCCGTTCAGTGGCTGGGAAAATTACAAGTATCAGTTTTACAAGTCACCCTGATTTCTGCGTTGTGCCAAAAGCATGAGCAGCAAGTACGGATGAGCTAAAGTCAATGACGTGAAGTCAGTTATCAAGAAAATCATTTAGAAGAACTGGGGATTCAAAAATGTTCTTTCCAAATTTAGGAGACATTTAATCGTGGGAATTGGTGGGACATGCAAACGCAGGCGTCAAATCTATGCCAGACAATGTTGCGAGCGTCGGTGGTAGCATTTTGATGCATTGAATCATAAATAATGACACGGCTAGAGTTATCATGGCATTCTAAATTTCTGAAAGAAAAGCCACCAGCTCACTAGCTGGAGAACACTATGCATCAAATTCGCTTTTCTCTGATATGATATACATGAAAGCTATTCTCATTCAAATTTTTGGCCAACGAATATCTTGTTTTGCATTGCATTCACCGACTGCAGAAATCTTTACGAGGCTGTCAGAAGCACTAAGCTCGTGGATGATTCGTGGATATAATCACAGGTGTTGCTATGATCAAACACGCATTACCACTGGCAATATCACTGAACTTCGTCTGTGTCGAAGCGAGAGAATTCGAACAAAGTGTCTTACCAAAAACGGAGCTTGCGGTTGCGAGCAGATGGAAACAATGAAAAATAGTGTTTATAAACTGGCAGACATGGAAGTAGTCTGAGAGATGTGCAAACCCTCGGCTGGGTCAATGTTCATTATAATAAGTTGACTACGATGCTGATAATTATTGATTAATATGATAATTGTTACAGATGAATGGTGGTGGACGTTTGGTAATATCAATTATTCTTTTTTAAAGTGTTTTATTCAGTCAATTTCTACTGGCGATACAAACCTCACAATTTTATGGATTCCCTCATTGACTCAACGCTACTAGCTTACTAACAAGGTCAAACGTTTATACCTCTCAATCTTTTTCTTAAACTAATTAGGCGCACTTTACTAAAAAAAACTGACCAGGAAACTTTTTTAACCTGATTTCTGAATTTTATGATTCTATTACTCACAGCAACCGTCTATCCTGGTTTTGATTTGGACTTAAGTTTGACATGCTTTGCAGCTTAAATTGTCAACCCTGATGTTTGAAAACTAGAGACAAGTGAAATACTATGCTCACTCCTTGTCTGGATCGCAGTGGCATTTTGGTTTTTCCCAAAACAGACGGCACTGCATTTTCCTTATCGTTTTCTCTTTCACTCTTCTCGCCATTAGTCACATTTGCTGCTCCAACCGTCTCCTTCACAGCAGTGCTGGAGCGGTTTCTCGTCAGCACTTGCGGCTCCTTTGCATTCTGTTTCGTGGCTAAGGCTCGTCTTTTCATGGCTTATCTGAAAAATACAATAAAATAATTAATACTTTGTGACCTAAATGATTATCACGCTTGTAAAATCCGCAGAAATAAAAAAGAAACAAGATCATTCAAAAAATCATCAATAACAAACTACGCCACACAAATAGCAATTTTGCAATTAAACAACAAAAAATCAGCCTTTGGCTTACCAAACGATTAAACTACCAAGTTTATATTTGCATACAATTCCATTTTTTCTTCAAAATTCACTTTCAAAATCTACAAACAATTCTTCGGCTCTTTTCTGCAGCACGGATTTCCTGGCTTGTACGCCTGGAGGGTACCTCACCATAAGACATGTGCTTCCTTTTGGCGTGGCATATACGTTAACTTCTTTCTTGATCGCCGCTTTCATCGATTTCCTGAATAAGGCTTTTTTCGCTGATTTTCCCATTGAACTTTTTTTATGAATCACTCTAGATTTGCGCTTTGGTTTTTTCGCAGTGGTCGGGGGATTCAATAGGCTTCTTCCTCTACCCGAGGCCATACAACTTCCGCTTATTCTGGAACTCGAATCTACTGGACTTTTGGCTTCTAGCTTCACTTCCTTATCTTTCGAGGCCTAAGAAAAACATTTGTTTATACTTCAGAACCTTTTCAATGCCCACCAGAAATGTTTTACAGTCATATTCAACTGGAGAAATATGAATCTTTTGCAACTAACCCAAGGTAAAACAGCATCATTCTGTCGAATCAAGCTTTTCTTCTGCTTGTTCAGCATGTAAACTGGGGCTTGTAGCTCTTCGGTGGATCGTGCTTTTATTTGAAACTGATAGTCTTCATTAGCGGCTAGAATAATCCGGTCCAAACAATTAAATGCGCTCTCTCTGAAATTTTGGAATCTATCCAACTCTTCTTTGTCAATTTTTTCAATCATTGCTTTTTGGGGAGATGAAAGATGTTGAGCTAATCGTTTTCCCAGAAGTGATTTCTTCAATAAAGGCTCAAGATCGCTGAGCGAATTATCCAGTACTTTTTTGTAGTCCATCATTCTGAATGAAAAAAAGTTTTGTAAAGAAAAAAAACGAGTTTAGAAAAAAAACTTTATACTTTTTTATTCTATTTTCTAGGTAATCAGAAGGTCAAGTATCATAGTAACCGAGGTTACAGTCAGGGGTCCCTTCATCACATATTCCAGTCAAAATCCTAGGAATTTCTAGATATGGAAGTGATAATGATAAAAAAAGGAGATGATTAGTGTTGCTGTGTTTAATATTAAATTCGATACGAGCGTGTTGCATTTATAGATGCCGGCTCCACTATCTCGCCATTTTTAAGCTTTTCTAACGTGCTAATTATGCATGTTCAACGAACAAAACTTGCACGTTTAAGCAATATCGTTTATAGGGTTGGCAGGTACTGGTTCTTACCGAAGATTTAGATTTACTCCTTTTAGATGGCAGTAATCACAATCTTTGAAAGTACTCTGACAGCACACAACAACAGGTTTGGGAATTTCACTTTAGTGAACTATTTTGTAATTTGCGTTTTCTGAAAACCCGTATTCGCAACTCCTGAGATTCCTCTGAGAGCCCCCAACTACAGGTTAGGAATTTCAAACTTTGAAAAGAAAATAAATTTAATTTTCATAAATTAAAAAACAAATCACAAAAAAAGTCATATCTAAAAAGCTTGAAGGTTTTGAGCAGTCATATTTCGAGGCAAACTTGACAACTCCTGAGAGTACCCTGAAAGAGCCTCACAACAGAGATGGTAACTTCAAGTTTTTAAAAAAAAAAATTTATACCCAAGTTCTCCGAACTTTTTTTTGGGAAAATCCTAAAAACCGTCATATCTCGAAAACTGCAAGGTTTTGAGCAGACATATTCAGAGGCAAGATTTGCAACCCCATGAGAGTAAACTCACAGATTCCAATAACAGAATTGAGATTTTCAACATTTTGGAATTTTTTAACATCTAATTTTTTTTTTTGAAAATTTCGATGAAAATCATGAAAAACGTCATATCTCGAAAACTACAAAAATTGGAGCAGTCATATTTGGAGGCAAAAATCGCAATTCCTGAGAGCACTCTGACAGAGCCTCACCACCGAGATGGGAATATCAAATTTTGTGAATTTTTTTATATCTAAATTTTCTGAAATATATTTTTAAATCCTAAAAAAACGTCAAAAGGATTTGAGCAGCCATAATTATAGGCAAGATTCGCAACCCCTGAGAGTACCCTCACAAAGTCCAACAAGAGGACTGAGATCTTCAACGTATTGGAATTTTTTAAAATCTAAGTTTTTGAAATTTTTTTTAAAAATCATAAAAAACGTCATATCTCGAAAACTACAAGGATTTGGTTATTCATATATGGAGGCCAGAATCGAAAACCTGGGAAAACTCTGACAACATCCAACTATTGGGTTGCTAATTAGAAACTTGATGAAATAAAAACTGAATTTAAACGGGAAAACTGAAAAAAACCTTAACCATTGCAATATACGATATAGCTTAAACGCGAAAAAAATCTTTTGTTAAAGATGCAAAAAATACGTTGAAAAAGCTTAAACATGGCGAGATAGTGAAGCCCGCATTTAAATATATAATAGATAATAGATTTGACAGAAGAAAATTTTTTAAAAAAATAGGAGACGGGTAGACAGACATAATCAAATCAATTTAAAAAAGCAGGTATACAGACAGACAGACAGAAAAACTTAATTTGGCCTCGAAACAAATTACTGAAAAATTTCTTGCCGAAAACTAAATGAAAAATTTTCTTAAGCATTGCAATATATGATATAGCTTAAACATGAAAAAACTCTTTCGTTTAACATGCAAAATTATTATGCTTAAACATGGGAGATAGCTGTCACTAGCACTTAAATATAGTATAGATAGTACAGATATAGATATAGATAGATACATAGATAGATAGATAGATAGATAGATAGATAGATAGATATAGATATATCTGGTAACAACTGAATTATGCAGTTAAGCGAACAGGTCATAGTAATCACTCTCATCGTTATCGAAAAGAGCACCATTTGCATTAAAAAACAAGCTTATTTACTTTTTCGTTTCGCAGACGATTGCGTGATTTGTTTTGCAAGAATGCGAAGATGTTCCAAATCCTTTTTAAGGACGCACTTGAAACTGGCATTATGAAATTGCGTAACGCAATATTTCCGAAAAAAGGGAACTTTAACTTTCCATACACCGTCCGGTAATCGCCTGCAGAAAAATGAAGTAGTTCATTTTTCCGCTCGTTCTGCATAAATCCAAACTGTACCAGGAAGCCATTAACTTGATGCTCGAAAGTTACCAAAACATGATCTTGTGTGAAGTGCATTCGTCCGAAATTTTCAAATTGTGCTGGATAGAACAGTGCTGATTTCAATAACCGGACAAAACGCGTTAAACTTGAAATTTAAAACCCGTTTTTCTCAAATTGGGTTGAGTTTAGGAAAACTTATGAAGACAAATAGTAATTTTCAAAAAATGGTCAAATAATCGAAAATTTGAATTTTCTGAGTGCCAAATTTATTTTTAGTGTTAACAAAAATTTGGCGTAGCCGCTTATGCAAGGGAACTTCCCACAACCTTTTCTTTTCGTTGAACCCAAAATCTCCGTTTGGACAGATTTTTTTGAGAAAATATTTTTTTTAAATTCAAAAAAATTGGGTCAAAAAATCCCCCACACACTTTTTCGAAGGCTGTAGAAAGTGGAGTAAGATTGAAAAAAATAGACTAGCGGATTATGCAGGCACACAGGGGAGTGGCCAGACTTCCCTTTGGTGCCACTCTTTTGAAAATCGGCTGAGTAGTTTTTGACAAAAACGAAATTTTTCCAAAGCGTCCAAAAAAAATATAAAAAAAAACCAATCCCAAAAACAATTTCATACCTGTTTCTATCAAAACAGGAATTTGTATGATTTTGATTGGCCGAACAATTTTAATTGTATCATTCAGACACATTTGTCATTTTTATGGAACTTGGATCATCTTCTACATATTGTAAAAAAAATTATCCTGATGATGCTAATTTTAGTCTAATTGTTGTGATAAACTTATTGAATAGTTTCATATCATTATGAGTCATTTTCCACTATCCACTGGTGGAAAATCCAACTGTGGAATCTGCGCTAAGAAAGTCCATCGAAACGATTCTGGGATACTGTGTGATGGTTGCGACGTATGGTTTCACGGGAATTGTATTGCTTTGTCGGATGAACAACTGAATATTCTTGCATCTGTGGCTACTTCGTGCTGGTTCTGCCAGCCATGTTTTGACCAAAGAAAGAACACCACACCTGTCAAGGGTTTTGATTCATCTCAAATCGAAGCTGTTGTCAAAAAGGCACTGGACACGTGCTTACCGCCGTTAGTCGAACGTTGTCTCAATGAGAAACTTGACACCGCGTGTTAACTACCGGTCAAACTTCCCCCAAGCCCAAAGGCAATTGAAGATACATCTTGCACACTGCGCGTCAATGGAATCCCCGAAGAGGGGAGTAACCTGTTTGAAAACATCCAGTCAGATTCCGCGAGTCTCAAAGCTGTTTTCTCTCACATTGGAGAATATGAAGCTGGGAACATCTCTGCTGTCAGAAGGCTTGGCAAATTTGCTAAGCCAAAAACTGACGAAGAATCAGCTAAGTCAAGACCGCGCACACTCTTGGTGACCTTCATCAACCCGTGGTCCGCCAGGAAATGTCTGGCAAAGAGCTCACATTTGAAGTCATTTGATTACCCCGTCTACATTTCCCAGTCGCTTACGGGCGAGCAACGCGTCATGGAGAAGAAAATACTTTCCACCCGATACAATATGATCCAGAGCGGCAAACTGAGAGCTGATTTCAAGATTCGTGACTTGAAACTGTACTATAAAGATGAACTACCAAATGACACAGTCGCACCCAATTCGGTCGTCAAGGCTAATTGACAATCATCGTGCCTCCTGGTCAATGCACAATCACTATGTTCACTTGACAAGCGTCTACTCCTCTCTCAACTCACATTTCATCATAATACATGCCTGATTTTTGTCTCTGAGACGTGGTTAAATTGTTCCATTGCCGACGCTGAGCTCTTCCCTGTTTGTGATATATCAGTTGTATCGCGAGCTGACCGCGATGTCGGAAAGCACGGTGGTCTACTGATTGCTTGCAAACCAACCCGTGACATCAAACTACTCGACGTCTCTGCATCTCACTTCGAATTCAGCGTGGCTTGTATTGCATACTCGGATACTTTCTGCTATCTTATTATTCTTATCTACAACCCTCCCGTCGGTTCCAAGTACCGACACAGCTGCGAGCAACTCATCTCGTGTTTCACTTATTATCGCTCTGTTTTTGAGAACTTTCGTAGCTTGAATTCTCTGCACAACATCATCTTGCTTGGTGACTTCAATCTTCCTGGTGTGTGCTGGGGAAGCAACAAGTCAAACAATTCTTCTGACAACACTTTATTGGACTTCCTATCTGATATGAACCTCCAGCAACTGATTGATGAACCCACCCATCGTTGCGGCAATATCCTCGACCTGGTAATTTGTGTGGATGATCTCGACTGTAATGTGATTCGTTCCGGTCATCAGCTCTCTGACCACTACCCGGTGACTTTCAGTCTCTCAATAGACACGCCCAGCCGCCCACCTGTTCTCTGTTTCTCACGCAGTCAGTTTGATGACAACCTGTTTGCTTTCAACCTCTCGAATCTGTATTCTTATATCTTCTCCATCATTGTCCACTGTGCCTCTTTCTGTCATGATTGGCAGCTGTTGTTCAGTCAAGCTCTCGATCTCTCGCTTCCCAGAAAGCGACGCAAACGTGTTGATTCTCCCTACTACTACTCCTCTCACACGATGCATGTCGCAAACCAAAAGAACACTGCAGATCGAGCTTTGCAGAAGGCGTGGAGCCTTCCTGCTGTGCTCAAATGCAGATCTTTGGCAAATGAGCTCACTTGTTCTATTGATGCTGATAAAGCATGCCTTTTGGATTCACTCTCATCGGGAGACACCAGACAATGTTTCAAATT